ATTTTTAATGAATAGACCAATTCTTGCCCAGGATGTCCCTGAGCTGCATCTGCAACTGGCAGAAATTTAGTGACCTGTTAAACATCACCTTTTGCTTTTCTCAGTGCACCTGGATTCAGCTTGCAATCAAAAATCAGCATTTTGAAGTGAATACACACTTGAACCAGCGCAGATTTTGGCATGAACTTGTAGGAAACAGCAGCCAAAGCTCTTAGCAGGCAGTGAAAACCACTGAAGCCCCCAAACAGGCTGGGATGGCTAAGGTAGAATGGACCCACAGGGAACAACCAGGAGGTGGGGAGTATCCCAGGGAGGTCACACATAGTGGTTCCCCCTCATACAAATCCAAGGAAGGAAGAAAAAGGAGATTCCCTGCTCTTGCCATCCCTTCAGCAGCAAACTACCCACAAGGAAAGCAGCAAAGCCCTGGGAGGCAGCAGGAGCTGACAAGGGCTGTGGCCTGACAGAGGCCAGAGCCCTGGATTGAAGGTTTAACTAAAACAAGGATTTTTTTCCTCCCAAGCAGTGTCCAGCCATCCCGCCAAGGCTACTCTGGGCCTGCACCAAGCTCCATGCGGACCTAAAGTGGATCCCTGGAACAGAGTCAGCTCCTTAGAGGCCTGGAAAATATTCCCTGTGTTCTGCCTGTGCCTTACAGGGCTTAGGATTTGGCCAAGGCATAGGCTGCATTCAACAGACCCGGTCCAGACCCACCAAAAGACTTAAATCCTCCTCGAAGGCTTCAGACACTCAGTTCAACACGCGATAAATCAGCCCCGCCGCAAGCCCGGGGTCGAGGCAGCGGCACGCGGCACACGCGGGCGGCAGCCGTGGGGACACCATTTTAGGCAATGTGTGAGTACCAGCCACGGCACTGCTGGGCTCCCACTTCAGAGGCTGGGCCAGCACCGTGCACAGAGCAGGTGCTTGGGCAAGAGGGTGATGGAGGAGCTCATGAGGGAAAATGCCTTCAGATGTCAGGTTGTGGGATGATGGGCAAGGAAGTTTGAGCATGGAGCACACATAGGAAGGAGGCAGGTCTTGGGGGCTGTGAACATCCCGATATCAATGATCAAGGTGGTCGTCAATGTGTCAGCCAGTGTGGTAAATTCTGGAGCACCTTGAGTCTCCTGTACTTTGCCCTTGGGCCTGTCTGGAAGACAGACCCAAACTCCAGCATGATGGCGAGGGGACAGGGAATCTTGGCCCCCCAGGCTCTGGCAGACAACAGCAGTCACCTTTCCTCAGCTGAAGCTGGAGATGGGATAACAAAATGACACTTTCAAGAACAAATGCTGTTTGCTCTAGGAGAACATTAAGCAGATTAGGTATTGCAGTTGCTTAATTCGTCTCTGGCTGGCAACCATAAAAGGTTATTGCTGCAGGGAGCAGCCTCCTCAGAGGAATTCCCAGGGCAGAGCTGGAGAGGAAGCATCGCTCGCTGGGCTGGGATGGTTCCTGCACTTGGCCAGAGCTTCCCACGGGTGAAACATGACTACTCCAGGCTGCTGCGTGGGGAGGAAGGAAGCAGTGACAGGCATCCACAGCATGTGACAGTCTGGGATGGTCTCAGGGGGTTTGATGCTGGGGGGGACAGCAGGATCAGCTGGCTGAGCTGCTTTGGGTCAAGGAAGAAGGCTTCGTGCTGTTCTAACTGTACCCAAGGCCACTGGGATCCCAACAGAGATTTTCATAATTCCCTCCAGAGCTCCAGAGGTCCAGTCAGACCCTCTCCACTGTAACTGGCTGTGCTGATTTCCCTCAGACAGGCTGGTCACTGGAGCTGCACACACAAGTGTCACAGAAGGTGACAGCACCACAACAGCCAGCACTGGAACAAGCCCTGCCAGCAGCATCCCATCCTCACCTGCCTGTCCCTTGGCTTGGTGCAGGATGCTGCATGTCCTCAGGTGACCCTGGAGCCAGGCTGGTGCTGGGAAGGGGACACGTCAGAGGAAAAGATGGATGTGAGCTCTGGCCACACCAGTCACATCCTCCAACATCAAACACTGTCTGCATTCCCACTGGGGAATGACCACACCAAATGTGTCAGGACAAAGGCACTGGGCAGTTCTGCTCCATGGAACAATCCCAGGGGGCAGAAAAGACCAGAACATCTGGGCATTTCCCAGCAGTCAGGGATTGAGACTGTTGGGAAACCATGGAGAGCATCACAGACAAGAAATAAAAATTATTCCATCTTCCTGTGACCCACCCCTGCCCTCCTGGCCCCACACCAGCTGCTCTTCACATATCCTGTCACAGGGTGTCCAGAACTATAAGGAAAAACCTCTGTAAAGCAAGTGCTGAAGTCCCTGTGCCAGGAGCAGCTGAAGTGCAGTCGTCCCTTGCCTGGTGTGGGCCCCTCATGGCCAGCACTGGCAGCAGTAGGGATTGGCTCTGGGCAGGAGCAGGGCAAGATAAGCTGTCCCAGACTGTAACACACTGTACAGAGCCACTGCCTTATCACCGCGCTGGGGCACGGAGGGCAGGGGAGCCGGGACTGTTCTCTGCTGTCTCTCAGCTGAAGGGGTCTGCAGCCCCTCTGATTCCCTCCAGATCACTGTGCAGGTTCCTGCAGTGGCTCCAGGGGGCACTGAGGGAAGGGCCCGTGTGGACCAGGGAGTGCCACACTACACAACATCAGTGTGGGAGAGGGGCTGAGCAAGCCCCAACAGGACAAACTGCTGTGCAAGCACCTGCTGAAGGCAGCTGCTGTGCCCAGACCCTCTCCAAAGCAGTCAGTGCTTGGGAGCAGCGTGAGGCTGATTCACTTGTTAGAGCAATCAGCCCACCTGAGCCCTCCCAGCCAGCCCATAACCCCCCCAGCAGGCATGGCACTGGGGAGGCTGGAGCAGGCTGTCCAGATGGGGCTTGAGGGAGCTGCCTGGGGCTCACCACACATCAGAGCCTGCAGGACCCCCTGCCCCTGCTCTGAATTAACCTTCCCTCAACTGTTTGGTTTGGATCTTGGTCTCCTGCACATCCACACCAGAAGAGAACTGGGAGTGGGTGGGGAATAATGAAGGAGAAAGAGGAGCAGGAGCTCTGATGCTGCAGGTAAAGGTACCCAAAAGCATCAGCCTGAAGGCAGTATTTGCTCACAAGGACACAAGTGTCTGGCTCCTCCAGGACTGCAAATGTCCTGCTTCCCAGGGCTCTTACTTCCCTCTTTCCAAGTCACGGCACCGCATGCAGAAATGAGGCCAGTTCACAGAAGTTGCTGCCATTTCCCACCCCTGCTGCTGGACACAGGGAAGCCCAGCCAGGACCACCCAAAGCGCCAGGGCTCCGGACACGGGGGCTCTGCTCGTCAGCCCTCACTGAAAGGCTGAAGGAATCTTTTCCCCCACATCTGCTCAAACACCAAACTCTGGCCAGGCAGCATGCAGAAACAGCTGTCTGCAAGCACCAGGACCTCCAGCTCACTGCCAGCCACAAAACAAACTTATTACAAAACCAAAAGGCTGATACTTAACCCATTACCCAGCTCCTGGAGGCAATTATGTGCCTTGAAAAGAAGATTACATGGAAGGAAAAGTGTTAACATCCCTTAAGGCAGTGATCCCTGAAGGGAGGAGCGGGGAGGGGAGGTGGGGGGCACCTCAAAACAAGCTCTGCCTGGGCCCCCGGGGTTCTTTGGTACCTGCTCAGTCCAGGACAAGCTGCCCCTGCCACAGCCCAGCTCCCGCCACACGCTCAGCCCCCTGTCCCCACAGGCCATTACCTCGCTTAAAGGACCATCTCTTCTTCCAGCGCTTGGAAAACGATGGCCAGGAGTGGTTGAGCAGCGAGTCTGACATTTGGGAGCCCCGTGCAAGGTACAGCCCCAAGCAGGAGACTCCGGCACGGAGCACGGCAGAGCTCAGCGCAGTCTAAGGCAGCGCTGCAGGCTGCAGCCCAGGGGCTGCCAAGGGGGGTGTGGAGAAGCCAAGTGTTTTGTCAGAAGTATCAGCTGATGGAAGCTGTAGCCAGAGAGAGATTCCTGGTCCCTGGCGTTCCCACCTGTGTGGCAGGTCAGTGACTTCCTACAGCTGGGCCTGGGGATTAGTGACACAGCCCCTGAGTGCTACTCGAGGCTTCCAGACAGAAACAGAAAACAAGCTGTTAACACACCACAGCCCCCCTGCCCTCTGCCAAAGCCTCCCTGCTCCATTCATGGCTGTAAGCATGACAGACACTTCTCACCTGGCTAACAGTCACCTTCACCTTCAGTGAGGGGTCAGAGTTGATACTTAAAACGCTTGATGCTTTTACATGACATTTATGAAGGCTCACTATTTACACTTTTTTCTCATTTTCAAGTGCTGTGGCAGAGCTTCAGCAAGGGACTGTGAAAGATCCTGTCAATCCACAATATCAGCATCATCCTGCAGCTCACAGCAAGTCCCAGGCCCCGGGCAAGGATGTTTCTCCAAGTCCTCCTCAGGTCTCCCACACAGGGAGGTAGGTGGGAGCAATCTCAGACTGCCCCAAGAGACCCAGCTCTCTACCCTCCAAGCCCACTGGTCCCAGTTGGCACCAGCCCCACAGCCCAGACAGGCTCCAAACTTCACTCCCAACCCCTCAATTAGGCTGAAGAAGCCGGGTTTTACCCCAGTGCTGCTGTCTGGGGCTGGACCAAAACTCCTCCCTGCTGTTCAGCTGATGCCTGTGGCCTCGCTGAGCAGAGCCCAGCCAGTCTGGGAATGATCACAGGTACACCCACAGCTTGAAGCCCAGGTTGGGCTGGTGATACACAAAAGCTGGTGTCAAAAAAGGGTTTTTCTTGCCTGGCCACAAACCCCAAAGTGTCACTGGCCCAGAATAACCCTATCTACATCTCCTCTGCTTCCATCTCCCCGATAACACTGCCCTGGGGTGGGCAGTCCAGAGTGGAACTGGGGGTCCTGGGCATGGACCCCTCTTGTGCACAGCCCAAACGCAGCCGTGGGCAGTGCCAGGGTGTCTTTGCAAACATCCAGCTGTGGCACAGGAGCAGCAGGAGCCAAAAGCAGCACCCAAAGGCTGCCCAGCCAGCCTGGCACTGCCCCAGAGCCCACCATGATGACACCTGAGGGTTAAATCCTGACCTCATCTCCTCTTCGCTCACAGCAGAGCAAAACCCCGTGGAGGCTGGGCCTCCCTAGTCCATGTTTTGCACAGAAGCTCGTGCAGGAGGGAGGCTGCACCGAACTGGCACTTTTGGCTTCAAGACAAGCCGCTTCCTCACAAGGCCTTGAGGAAGGTGAGTGACAACCCCGCTGCTGTGGGATGGAACTTGTGCAGAGAGCGACTTACCCTGAGGGCTGGCGGCCCCTCTGTGGCGGGCTCCTCGTGCACGCTCACATCTGACAGCCTCGGCTGCTTCTCCAGCCGCTGGAGCAGAGCGAGAAGCGGAGCCTCACCGGGGAAGCAGCGGCCATGAGGGCGGTTTGCTCACGGGGGCCGCCGGCTCAGCCCTCTCACCGCTTCCCCTTTCCGACGGCACAAACAAAGCCGGCTCGCCCATGCTGCGGCTGCCGGAGCAGCGCCCCAGGGCTGCTCGCTGCCACCCTCGCGGGGCTCTGGGCTCTGACAGGGTCCAGCAAAGCCACCAGGAGGGCTGCGGACCCTGAGGCAGCCGTGCAGGGGTCCTGGGAGCCCTGAAGGCACGATGGCTGCGAGGAGCAGCTATTGCCACCGCTGCTTCCTGTTCCCTTCGGAGAAAACCCGCAGTGTGTGCCCCGAGAGCCCCGCAGGCCCGGCCCGGCCCGTGGGCCCCTTGCACCACGGCTCCTTAACCTCCCACACACGGCAGCTCCTAACGAGTCCCTGGTCTTTGACCTTGGGGGGAAACTGGGACCCCAAAGCCCAGCAGGTCTGTCTTACACAGCGGGAAGTGACAGCACAGCAGAGAAATACCCGTAGTGACCATATTCACCTGCATAGGAGAGAGATAAAGACTTCAGCTCCAAGGCAGTGCCCCTGGCCAGCAGACAGAGCCCCTGGCACGGTCCAGGCTCGGGTTGCTGGCACAGCCATTCCCTCCTTCCCAAAAAGCCCCGTGGGCTGAGGCACTCATGCTCCTCATCCCAGAGCCCCGAGCACTCGCCAGCCCCAGCCAAACCCTAATCAGAACAAGAACCACTCACACTCCAATTACTCAAGACCGCAGCTTTGGCAGCGCTTAGAATAGCAATTACCCTGTGCTCCAGGAAACCACAAGAGCAAAGAGGAATTACGGTTTAGTTTCTCTGAAGTCCACAAGAGCCCGATTAGCATCAGAGATCAGGGCAGCTCCTAAACACCAGGCAGCTGCTCTGGCTGATGGGATGGTGAGTTGTCCTTGGCTCAAACAAGGACGAGCTCTTTTCCTCCTGCCACGAGTCTGACACAGCTTGGGGGATGCTGAAGCTGAGCTGTGCAGGCAGCCTGGAAGAGTGATGAGGGATGATGGCACGAGGATTGTCCCAGCCTCAGCAGCCTCCCCACGGTATCCCAGAGAACCCAGAGGGAAGCAAACCTCCCAGGACAGCAAGTTCAAGTTTTGTGGCTTTGCTTATTTTTGCATTTTAGGATCCCTACAGAACAAGCCTGTGCCAGAAGCAACTCCAAAACATCTTAAAACACCGATTTGTTTATGATCATTCTCACAGTGAGAGAATTCTGGGTAGGCTTAGGAAAAAATGGCATTGGTGGGGCATTGAGTGCTGTGTCCAGCTCTGGGCCTCTCACTGCAGAAAGACACTGAGGGGCTGGAGGGTGTCCAGGGAAGGGAACGGAGCTGGAAAAGGGGCTCAGCCTGGAGAAAAGGAGGCTCAGGGGGATCTTCAGGCTCTGCACAACTCCCTGCCAGGAGGGGACAGCCCTCACCTCGCTCTGGTGAAACAAAACAAGGTTTAAGTTAGAAGCACCCCCAGAGGGGCCTGGGCAGGACAGGAGGCTCCTGGTGCACACCTGGTTACAGCCAGGACAGGGGTGGGACTGATCCTCTGCCTTTGATGCTTTAAAACCTGCAGTGAGAAGTCTGTCTCCTCCAAGGACGGAACACCGGTCCATGCCCAGGAAATAACAGAATTACATGACAGAGCCACAGCTCTCGATGCTCCAGAATGAATCCTGGCACCAAAGTTCACCTGACAGCATCAGAGGCATCACCCCAGAGCCCCGAGGTGAGGACAGGGATCACCAGAGCCATCAGGTAGAGGAGTTCCACTGGATTCACACTACAAGCCTACAGCTGCTTGAGCTGTGGGTTTTTGTTTTTTCCTTAACACCATTTATTTTGCAACTTATTCCAAGGTACAAATTTAGTACTTTCTCCATGGCAAAGCAGCCTTCAGTGCTGCACAGACAGCAGACACAAAATGAACGGTTATTCTTGGATAATTTATTCAGAATTTTAATATAAACAGTTAATTGTTCAATATTCTGACACACAGCAAGGATTTTTCTTTTTTACTATTCAAAAATTTTCTGTACATGTCACTGCTTGGCTCTTAGATATGAAAACATTGAAAAAATAAATCAAGGGGGAAGGTTTTTATTTTTTCTTCCTTTTTTTTAAAAAAAAAACATGGCACATTTGACCCTTTATTTCAAACAAGAGGTATCTGCAGTACTATTTGTATTCTAGAACCTTAAATACGCAGAGGGAAAGGTAGGAGCAGCAAGAATGAACTGGGAAAAAAAATAAAACCCCAAGACTTCACACAGAACATCACCTAACATGTAACTGAAACTATCTGTGGTTTATTTAAGTGAAGCAGAGGGCTCTGGGCTTTGTTGGATGAAGCTGACATCCACTTCACCCATCCATGAGGGTCATCAAATATAAACCAGTTTTGATACTCCAAGAATAAAATAATTTCCCTAACTAAAGCACAATTTAATGTTTTCCCTGTTTAAATAACACTCTACCTCTGCAGATTTAGAAGTGGCCTTTCTAAAATTCTCCATCAGCTTTCATGAGACTCGGTTACAGGACAAGACTTGGAAGTGGGGATGGTGGAAGCGTTGGAATGCTGCTGGGAGAGCCTGGATTTAGAGAGCTTTGGTGTTGAGTCCAGCTCAGAGCTCTCAGGTACAGAGCCCTCAGCTCAAGATTTATTGGAGCTGCTGGGACTGACCAGGGGCTGGGGTTCAGCTGAGCAAGAGCCCCCATTTAACCTCCACTGATGGCTCTTCTTTAGCTGCCAGGACTATTCCAGGTCCTCCCAGCCACCAGACCCCTGTTCCCAAGGGATCTTTCTGGGCTGAGAAAGGAAACTATTTAATACCACCTGTTTGAACACTGGAGTGGGAACAAAACCACTACCAGGAACAGAATTTCTGTCTGATTGCAAATCTGTTGGCAAAAAAATGACAACACCATAGGAGTTAATACTAACTTTATTATACAATATTTAAAAAGTCATTTCTCTACCTGTCCCCTTACAGCTTGCATTGTGCTGCAGTGAATTTTCCCAAACTGCAAGAATAAGTGCTTCCTTCTGAGAAGGACAAGCAAATTCATTTTAAAAAGAAATACACATTTAATGACAGCAGATTTGCTAAAAACAATAAGTTTAGAGTTGCTTTTCAACAGTCAGATTCCTCCAAAAGTCAGCTAGATGATTGGCTTCACTCTTGTGATGCTCCTAACAAGGCTGAACACGTCAAGGCTTTACACCAACACAGACAGAATCCAAGCAGAGGGAACACAGAGCCAAGCAGAAGGTAATAAAAAGGCCAAATTCCATTAAGTTCATACAAATACCAAACTAATCTTATGTTGAATTCATGAAGTAACTATCTCTTGATTCCAACCCATTCAGCAGTTCCTCTCCCTGGACCACAGGATGCTCTGAGAGGTGGTGGCTCTTTGGGCAGGACCGGGGTTCCTGTGAGTCCCCGGCTCCGAGAGGATCACAGGGGTCATCTGCAGTTCCAAGCTCCCTCCAGGCTCTGAGCCGATCCCACACGGATCACGGCAGCATCTGGCACAGCCTGGACAGTAAGGTTTTATGGCACAAAGATACTTTACGTTCTGGCTTGTAAAACAAGGTTCCAGTCTTGGTAGCAGGAAGGGCCCGGGACACCTCAGGATCTGTCTTCGTGTCACAGTGGCTTTGAGAGGGAACTCGACTGCCTCCCTCCCTCCCTCCCTCCTCTAAAGCAGAGGCTCAGCACCCTTCTTGCTCCTGTCATTTCCTATTTGCCTTCAGCACAGTCAGCTCAGTAACACAAGAAGCGACTTTGAGATTTTTTTTTTCCAAAGAGATACCAACACTATAGCCAACAGACTAAAATGAAGCAAAGTGTCCCATCGCTATAATACAAATTTAGGAGGAAACAGATAAACTACCCATAAATTAAGAGTACCCTTTAGCAACCTAAAAGCAGCCTCTTCATACCCACACGGCTGCTTTACCATCATCGCTGCAGCGTGGTCTAGTTCCCATCACCTTTCCCAACCCAGTGCTGGCACACAGTTTATGTCTGAGCTCTTCTATTTTACAACACAATAGAGTATTTACAAGCAGCCAAGACAGACACGTTCCTAACCCAGCAGCCAAGCTTTGCAGCGCTGCGCTGGCTCGCAAGAGAAGTTCCAGATTGGCAAGAGCCGTTCAGGAAGTGGCAATCGAGTTTTAATGTGGAAACCTTTCTGAGAAACCTCTACAGTCTTGCACTTCAGACTTTTTCTCAGTGAAAGCTCAGCAGAGCTTAGCTTCTTGCTCCTCCTGATTCACCAGAGTGAATTTCTGGCTACATGGTGGTGCCAGACTGTGCCCAGGAGGCTCCAGCTGCTCCTGGACAGGCTGAGGGGTCTGTCCTGCTGCCCCGTGCTGCAAGCGGGGCATTCTCTGCCCACAAAGGGCAGGAGCCAGCCCTCCAACAAATACTAATGCAAACAAAGAAGGAGCTTCCCACTGCTGGCTGCCTTTCTCCAGCCATCCCACCTGCTCTCCTGCACCGGTGTTTGGCTTCTCCTAAGCAGCAGCAGCAGTGAGTGTTGTGCTTCCACTGCAGCTGGGGAATTCTGACCCAATGAAGATGTGGCCAGAGCAAAGAGCAGCAGCTTCCCAAAGAAAGGCTCAGCACAGCACCCCTGCCCGGGCTGGGGTCCCTGGCAGCACCCCAGAGGTTTCAACAGCACTTGAGTCTCCACTTGCAGGAATTCTCTGAGCAGGAATCAGCGAGATCCGAGTGAGGTGTTCAGGCATCCCCAGGGCGAGGATCTTCCAGCAGCAGAGACCAAAGTGTCGGCTGTGAGCCAGGGAAGGATTTTCCAGCAGTGAGAGCTGGGCTTTGAGGGTGATGTTCATTTATTCTTCCTGATTCTACAGCTGAGTGTGATCTGTAACTGCCACGAGCAGCAACCACTAGTGTTATTTGTTTTACAGAGGAGAAACACAATACCCTCCCCACTGGTACCACACGTCTTCCCTCCCCCTGGGCACAAGGTGGGAAGGATGAGTAACCTTCACACAGTGCTGGGTACAAACAACTGCTCCGTTCGGTGCAGGGTGAAGGTGACACTGAGCCATGGGAGGGGACTGCCTGTCCGTGGAGCAGCACACGCTCCCTGGCTCGGCCATGCGAGTGTTCAAACCATGTGTACTCACAGGGCCAACCAGTATCAACCGCGTGGAAAAGCCAGACCCAATACAAGGTTCCAAACTTCCTTCAGGTTAAAGATCTTCTATTCCCACAGTTATGATCACTGCCATTGGAAATGTTATCAAAGCAAGGGTGTGCTGGGAAAGGTTTTCAGGAGGTCACTGGCAGGACCTTGGGTCACCTGTGCGCAGTGAGAAGAGCAGTGACCAAGCCACCCCAATGCAACCCCAACAGCAAGGGCTGGTCCCAGTCCCAGCTCCACGCTGGCACATGCTGATCCAGGAGGAAGCAGCCTGATCCTTTTAGGTCATGAGTTCACTAAAGTCCAAACATTTAAATGGCTCTTTTGTTTTTTGTGTTTTTTTTTTTTTTAAATCACGACAGAACTAAGGGATGAGATCAGATCCAAATTTGTAAATGGGTTCATTGGCCACTACTGTTCACATTAGGGATCAACAGTAACGAGCCATTCTCCTTCCCATTCCCTTCATGAATGGTCCCTGGTATTGGAATCAGCTGATACTGATTTTCCCTGATCCACAATAGGTCCAGACCAGAATATTTAAACAGGTTTAGAGGTGCGTAGTATTAAAAAATATCCTTAAGAAACACTGAGGTAGACTGCACCAGAACAGGACAAAAGTAATCCCACCACATCCACCTGCCAAGATTTTGCGGATACAAATTTACATGTTCTGTGTGTTTAAGAAAACAAATTGTTTGTTGCTTTTTTTTTTTACAGTGTTTTATATATTAAAATAAATAAAAAAATTCTAATAAGAAAAACTTCTCTTCCTTAGAAAAGTGTGAGAATATGTCTTCTTTCCTGCAGTGTAGTATAGAGCTGCTAAACAGTTACAACTTTGTAAAGCAGAAGAAATGTAAACGAGGCCTTTTGAAATCCAAAGGTTCTCACCCATGTCTGGACTGTGTTTTCCACCCAAATTTGTGGAGCAACCTGTACCCTCCACCTGGGCCGAACCGATCAGCCTCCAGCAGCAAAGGGCCCAACAGCTCCCAGTGCTACCCAGAGTCTGTCGTCCCCCCTTTTGTGACTGTTCTGGCCAGAAGCAGCTGGGGCTCCCAGAACCAGCTGCAGCCCCAGGTGTGGGCTCGGGGCACTGCAGCCCCTCTGCCTCGCTCACAGCAGCACTGCCCGGGCTGGAGCCACAGCCCGGCCCAGCCTTCCTGCTCTCCCGAGCCAGGGCACCTCGCTTTCTCCTGGCAGAGAGCACAAAACAGATCTTGGACTTCTCCAGGAGGAGAAGTGAAGGACTGAGCGTCTCTCCCTGCTGTTCAAGCACCTCCTGCATGACACGGGCCTGCGACATCCATCATCTTCCTTCCCTGCTCCCACCAGCTCCGTGCTACCAGCCCTGGCTGAGTTTCACCGTTATTCTCCAACACCAGGTGCCCATCAGCTCTGTCTTTGCAAACAGCAGCACAACAAAGCACAGTCCTGACGGCGAGCGCTGACATCCCGGCAAGCCGCGTCCCGGGAGTTCTGCAGCAGGAATCTCGGGGAACACAAGGCTGGAGGCAGCAAACCACGGTCACCTTAGGTGTGCAGAGCCCAGAACTTTGTGCTCCCCCCTTCAGTGTCCCTTGCTCAGCTCCAGTTCGTGCTTGTCCTCTCTCGCCGGCTCCATCTGCGGCACGGAAGGCAAAGTGAGGGACACGGGGGTAGAGGAGGAGCAGGACTCGAGGCCAGGATGTTCTGGGTCCTTCAGCTCCCAAAGATGGGGCTTTGATTGGAGCCAGCTGACTGTGTTGAATAAATCATGAAACTATTACAAAGCCTTGTCAAGTATGAACTGAACATGTGCTTCATCGCTCCTGCAAGGCTAAAATTAGTTCATTCTGAAATCTTTGGACCACTTTAAGACCAAACAATCCCCCAAAACTCTTGCCGCCCCAAAAGGATCATAAACAGTCAATAATTTATATGAAGTTAAAATTTAAACTAAAGACATCTTTAAATATGTTACAACAAACAATATATATACTCAATGCTGTAAGGACAGAAAACTCCATGTCTCAGGTCAGGGGACTCCTACTTCGTTTGGTCTTGAAAGTACCCACAAATCTCAGAGTTCTGCTCATTTAGCTCCCAGCACGTTCTCCTCATTTGTTAATGAGAGAAAACCTGCTCCCAAGAGTCCTCAGTATAAAAATAATCTGTTTAGAATTCAGTCTCTCCAGGGAAATGGGGAAAAAAGATAAGTACACACTTCCAAGAAGAGGAAAGCTCCTGTGAGAACAGAGAATCATAGAGTATGCTGAGTTGGAAGGGACCCACCAGGATCACGGACTCCAACTCCTGGCCCTGTGCAGGACACCCCAAGAACCCCACCATGTGCCTGAAAGCGCTGTAAGTTGTGTACAAAACCAGAAATGTCTCTTTTGCTATAGGGTACACCCCACATGTTGATACTGCACACACGCACACACACGCCCACGCACGCACCCCGGGAGTTTCACCCCTTGAAAACAAAGTATGAAAGCAGCAGCTATTGGTCAATCTGAGGATCTGGCGCGCCCGACTGATGTGCTGAATCCTTCTCTCAGTAGAGAGCCTGCCTGAAAGCCTGGAATTCTACTGGAAATGCTCTTGTTCCACGTTGCTGGGCTGGAGCTCAGGCACCAGAGAACTTCACGTCTTCTGCTGGCAAACGCGGATGCTTCTCCTTCAGTTGAACTCACACGGTCGCTTCCTGTTGTGAAACCATGGTTACAGAAGGGACAGCAGCCATGGAAACCTCTTCCATTTAAGTTCACAGATAAGTCCACTGACAACCAGTCAACTTGGCAAAAAAAAAAAAAATAAAAAATCGTAAGATGATTAAAAATCTGAAGAGTTTGTAGATGTGTGTCATACACTGTGGCAGCAATAACAAGAGTCCTGAGATTTGTGGAGGGGGGGGAAAAAAAGCAGACACAACCCTTGGGCCAAACAGGAAGTGTTAGGAAGGACTTGACCTGGGCATGGAGAGAATCCGCCCGTTTTTCTTGCCACCGTTCATGTGAGTGTAAGGGATGTGCTCCTCGTAGTTGCCCTTGAGGGCCATGGAGGGTCCATTGTCCCTCCCCAGCGCTTTGTCCCTCTGTGAGTATGAGGAGGGGTCAAGGGGAATGCTCTCCATGTTCTCGAAGTCCATCTCGTACTCCTCCGTCTCCAGAGGTTTGTTCTCCTCGCTGTAGAAGAAGGAGACCTCGTGGAAGCTGGGGTGCAAGTCCTCCTTCAGCATCTCGATGATCTCGATGAAGGTGGGACGCATCTTGGGGTTGTACTGCCAGCACATCTGCATCAGGCTGTGCCTGCAGCAGCACAGAGCACAGTCAGGGGCAGCAGAAGCAATCCCACGTGCAGACCAAGGCTGACCCCCCACCACCCACACCACACCTCTGACACCCCAGCTTGCTTGTCCTCTTTCCAGCCTCCACATCTGCCTGTAGATCCTGACACTCCTTTTTCTCTATTTCTGTCTAGATGAAAAATTCCTTCCGATTCCTTCAATTGTTCTTAATTTGGCTGCTGAAGGAAACAGGGCTGTGGTTCACAGACTCCACGTGTGTGTGTGTGCACAAGCACTTAGAGCCAGGTCATCCTTTTTTAATTGACTCCCTTTTAATTTTAACTCAGCTTGAAAGATAACAAAGCTCCCAAAACTTCAAGGAAAATGAGAGGCTGGGCAGAGGACAGAGGTCCTGTAAACATCCCACCCAAAAGAAAGGCTGCAGTAAGAGGTCACATGTTATCAGACACCATGGAGAAAGAGCTCACAAATACAAATAGAGTTTCAAACTGGAGTTTGTAACTGGCCATCAGACAAATGTCCAGCACAGCAGGCTTTTTTCATAGGGATATTCACAAAACATGTTTATTTTATGACTCTGGAAGTGCTGTTTTGGCCAGAAGCAGCTGGGGGAAGAGGCTACCAGAACCAGAGAGCTACCATCTGTGCTCCCTTTTCCCAGAGCTGCTTTCCCTCACAACTGCTCCAGTGTGACTCCTCACACAGAATCCCATGATCACTGGGTTGGAAATGACCTCCCAAGACCATCAAGTCCAACCTTTGACCCATCCCCACCTTGTCACCCAGCCCAGAGCACTGAGTGCCACATCCTGTCCTTCTTTGGACACCTCCAGGGTTTGGGACTCCAAACCTCCCTGGGCAGCCCCTTCCCTGGATCACTAAGGATGCTTTGGTGCAATTTCTGTGGGAGGTGCCTCACTAAAGTCTGTTTTCCTCTTCCCCAGTCAAGGAGGGGTTAAGAGGTGCCCCAGGTCAGGCCATTCCTGTTGGCCACAAAGAGTGCAGCTGGGCTGGCTGTCCCCTCTTGCCCACTTACAGCCTCTCCGGGCAGTTGTCTGGCTGATCCAGGTATCCTCCATCCATGACAAACTTTAGCACCTGCTCATTGGAGAGTCCCTGGTACGGCTGCTCTGCCAAGCTGCTTATTTCCCAAAGGACAACACCAAATGACCTAAGGGAGAGAGAAGGGTTCCTGGTGAGAACAAAACATCCTGGAGCCCTCCCAGTGACAGAGTTATTTTGGAAAACGAACACTTCAAAAGAACACGACTATATTTTTATGGAAGGGTTTCAAAACAACGGCTTTGTTTTGTCAGTGCTCTGAGCAAGTCAGTTTAAACTGTGTGTGCTAAAACAAGAAGCTGCTGAGCTGGAATCCATCTGGGATTGCAGAGGACAACTTACCACACGTCAGAGTAGGTGGTGAACACCCCATCCTTCAGCGACTCCGGGGCCATCCAGCGCACGGGCAGCAGCCCTTTGCCCCCCTTGCGGTAATAATCCGTCTCGTAGATGTCCCTGGTCATCCCAAAGTCTGAGAGAAGCAATTGGGATGTGTTAAATGCCTCTCCCTCCACCCTGCTTTTCCTGTGCAACATCTCCAGATGGATGTTGCCTTCCCCCCCACTGCCAAAGCCCAGCCTGCAGTCATCTGTCACCTCATGATTAATTTTCAAAACATTTCCCTTTTCCTGCATTTTTTTCTACAGAGTCACAACAGAGACTCCACAGTTAAATTTTTTGTTGACAGCTTCTATTCTAAACATTATTTTATTCATCCTCTGTAAGTAAAACAGAGCTCCCTTTGCCTGAAATCCCACTGCCCTGGCTTTAACTCCAGAGAGCTCTGAAAAATCACCACACTGTGGAGTTCCAGCTTATTTTTAAATTTTGTATTTACTTATTTCTAAAAGGGTTTGGATTTAAAACTGGGTTAAATTACTTTTAAAAGCCACCTGACCCAATGACAGGATTATCAGCACTGTGTTTGTTGTACCCAACTCCTTCTTTGTCTTAATTCTCACGAAAGCAAAGACCAGTGAGACAAACCCAGGTAGCTCAGGCTGGAAAGGTAATGAACTTTTAGGCCAGAGATTTGGGAATAGAGAAGGTGAGAAAAGCTGCTCTGGTTCTACAGGAGATGTTGTTCTTACTGAAGAGCACACAATTCTGTGACAGGGAAGAAACAGAGGAAGTGCTGCAATTTCCCACAGCCAGTGAGAACCACCCGTGCTTGCCACACTGGTTTCATCGCTTTGCTTTTACAACAAACACGATGCACAGAACCTTCTCCTGATCACAGAATGGCCTGGGTTGGAAGGGACCAGCACTACCTACCCCCGATTTTCACAGTGAAGTCCTCTGCCACCATGCAGTTGCGAGCTGCCAGGTCCCTGTGCACGAATTTCTTGGCGTTCAGGTAGGCCATGCCGTCGGCGATCTCCGCGGCCATCTGGATCATCTCCCTCAGCGTCGGGGGCGGCCGCCCGGGGTTATTCTGCAAGGAAGGATCAGTCACAGAATGGTCTGGGTTAGATGTGACCTTAAACATCATCCAGTTCCCTGCCACGAGCAGTGGCACCTTCCAACCTGGCCTTGGACACTTCCAGCTTCTCTAGGTAACCTCTCCACCCTCACAGCCAAGAATGTCTTCCCAATATCAAATCAAATCTACCCTCTTTCAGCTTAAAAGAAGCATTAAACCCCAAATCAAGTCACTCTGCTCCACAACAGACTCCCTCTCTCCCATCTTTACCTCAGCTTCAGGTCTCAAGGAGCGGAGGTAACTCTTCAGATCCCCGTGTGCCATCAGCTCCATGACCACCAGAGTAGGCTGTCCCTTGGAGACCACTCCGAGGAGGCGAACCTGGAAAACGAGCGAGAAATTCCCTCGAGGCCGTGTCCAAACAGGGGAAAAAACAGGGCAAAGCCAACACCCCCTGAAACAGAGCTGAGAACAGCCCCACAAGGCCTTGTCAGGCTGAGAGGTTTAGAAAGAGCAGCAGTGAAACGACTTGGGCGGGTTCTGTGGAATCCAGCAGGGGAAGATCCCAGCTCGGACGGATCGGCTGCCTCTGCTGCTTTGGTGAGCTGAGGGTCGGGCTCTGAAGGCACTGCAGAGCTGAGCTGAGAGCTGAGGCACCCAGCACTTACCACATGATGGCAGCTGAAGCCTTTCATCACGGAGGCCTCGTTGAGGAACTCGATGCGCTCACGCAGGCTGGCGGACTCGTTCACCGTCTTCACGGCCACGCGCGTCTCGGGCTCTCCCTTCACAATGTCCTTGGCGATGCCCTCGTACACCATCCCGAAGGAGCCCTGGCCCAGCTCCCTCAGGAGGGTGATCTTGTCCCGTGGCACCTCCCATTCGTCAGGGACATAAACTGTTGGGCACAGGGGAACAGTTCTGAGCTGCAGCCTTGGTTGTGCTGCCACAC